CCAGCTACTTGGAAGGCTGAGGCGGAAAGATCGCTGGAGCCCAGGAGGTCGAGGTTGTGACTGGGAGCGTGCCACCGCCCTCCAGCCTGGGCTACAGAGTGAGGCTCCAACTCAAAAAAAAAAAGAAGAAGAAGCAAAAAGTAGAATAGTGGCCGAGACAGCATGGCGGCTCAGGCCTATATCCCAGCACTTTGGGAGGCTGAGACGGGAGAATCACTTAAGCCCAGGAGTTTGAGACCAGCCTGGACAAAATAGCAAGACCTCATCTCTGTAGAGTTGAAAAAAAAAAAAAAGGCCAGGTGCAGTAGCTCACACCTGTAATTCCAGCACTTTGGGAGACTGGGACAGGAATATTACTTGAGCCCAGGAGTTCAATACTAGCCTAGACAACACAGTGAGACTTCATCTTACAAAAAAAAAAAAAAATGACAAAAAAGTTAGCTGGGTGTGGTATGTGCCTGTAATCTCAGCTACTCAGGAGGCTGAAGCTGAAAGATTGCCTGAGTCCAGGAGGTCGAGGCTGCAGTGAGCCATGATCATGCCACTGCACTCCAGCCTGGATGACAGAGTGAGACCCTGACTCAAAAAAAAATTTTTTTTGAAAAAAATAAGCCAAGCATTGTTGTGTGCGTCTATATTCCCAGCTACTCGTGAGGCTGAGGCAGGAGGATTTCCTAAGCCAAGGAGTTCAAGTCTGCAGTGAACTGTAATTATGCCACTTCTCTCCAGCCTAGGCAAGAGTTAAGACCCTGTCTCTGGGAAAATATTTATGTTAAGAATAAGGCCGGGCATGGTGGCTCAAGCCTGTAATCCCAGCACTTTGGGAGGCTGAGGTGAGAGGGTTACCTGAGCCCACAGGTTTGAGACCAGTCTGGGCAACTTACAAGACCTTACCTCTCCAAGAAAACAAAAAATTAGCCAGGTGTGGCGGCGCGTGCCTGTAGTTCCAGCTACTTGAAAGGCTGAGGCAAAAGGATCACCCAAACCCAACAGGTCAAAGCTGCAATGGCTGTGAGCATGCCCTTGCACTTCAGCCTGGGCAACAGAGTGAGACTCCAACTCAAAAAAAAAAAGAAGTAGAATAGAAAATAATGATGGGAACCTTTAAGTAAGAGTAAGCATTGTTTTATGAGGTTTTTGTTTCAAATGGGTACATGTTGTGTATGCTGAGAATGTCAAGTATAAAATGTATTTTTTACTATGGTTCTCAGGCAAGTTTGAGAAAGATTGAGCTAGACTGTCACTCAAACTTGAACGTGACATAGGTATGACTACTTGAGTATCTTGAAAGATGCTAATTCTCACTGAGGATTGAGTCCCAAGATTTGGCATTCCTATCAAACTTCATGGAAAGCTGCTGTTCCCTGAACCACATTCTTTTTTTTTTTTTTAGTCAGATTCTCACTCTTGCCAAGTCTGGGAGTGCAGTGGCACGCTCATGGCCACTGCAGCCCTGACCTGCTGGACTCAGGTGATCCTTCCCCTTCAGCCTTCCAAGTAGCTGGAACTACAGGCATGCACCACCATGCCTGGCTAATTTTATGATTTATTGTAGAGACAAGGTCTTGCCATGTTTCTCAAGCTGGTCTTGAACCCCTGGGCTCAGGCATTCCTCTCGCCTCAGCCTCCCAGAGAGCTGGGATTACAGGCTGAACTACCCAGCCCGGCCTGGAATCTGCATTTTAAATAAACTCTCCAAGTCATTTTTATATACACAAAAGTTTGGGAACTACTAATCTAGTAGGCAGGACAAGATCAATATAAATGACTGTAATATGTGTGACAAGATAATATTCTTATGGTCTAGTAGATATGCTATGGAACAGTAAAAGAAAATGTGAGTTGCATTCCTCATACACCAGAGTGATTGCATGCCTGTTTCCCTGCAAATCTGAGACCTTTTAAGGTAGAAAACAAACCTAAACACCTTACTAGCGCTTGCGCCTGCATCCCAATGCGTACTAAACAAAGGAGAAAGACATTACAGCTAAATTGGAAAAAGCTGTTTGGGAATGAAATGAACTAAGGCGCAAGAGCAGGGAAGAGAGAGAGGGCGGGCACTCCAGGCCCAGGGGACGGCGAAAGCAAAGGCAAGGACATGTCTGCCAGGGACAGGGGGTAGAACCCTGAGCAGTGTCTGTCGGTAGTCCCAGTACCAAGGGCTTGCCTGCCGGAACAGCTTTGGTGGACTCTCTTCCCACGCTCGCACCAGATAGACGGTGTGGGGGTGAGGCAAGATGGTGTGGTTCTCTGTGGCCTGTGGAGCCCCAAGTTGTCTCCTAGTTAGCATCAAACCAAGTAAACCTTTTTTGGTCACTTCTAGGAATCTACCAACCGCTTTTGAAATCAGAGTGGAAAAAACTGGATTTGAGAAAGATACATGCTTAATATTAAATTCACAAAATGTAATCATTGCCCTTTTGAGAAATTATTTAACAGTATGTATTGGACTATTAAAATGTTTAACCTTTGCTCTTTCTTTTTTTTTTTTTTGAGTTGGAGTCTCACTCTGTCGCCTAGACTGGAGTGCAGTGGCCGTATTTGTCCTTCTGAACCTGGACTAGTTCACTTCTGTAATGTCCCCTATCCCCTACGTTCATCCATGTTGTCACAAATGACAAATTTTCTTCTTTCTAATGGTTGTATAGTATTTTTATTGTGTGAGTATACCACATTTCTTTAAGCTTTCTTCCACCAATGGATTCATTCTTCTGAAAACATTCTTTTCGAGCCTCCTGGTTGCTGCTTCTATTTTAGGCTGAGAGTTAC